GGTGAGAATGTAAGCCGTCCTCAGGTGTTCTTGAGTCCTGAGAAGGGCTGGGTGATGGTTCGCTTTCAGTCATGTACATATCATAACCTGGATAGTCTTATTGGGTTTGTTGGGATTCGAACGAGGGCATTCTCGTGCAACTTGAGCGCTCTTTCAACTGAACTCACAGGAAAGGACATCTCGATGTCTTATAAATAGACCAATGACGTGAAATTATCCCTATGTCAAAGAGGGTTAGCCAAGTGACCAAGTTTATTCTGACCATTTTGACCAAGTTTATTCATCAGGTGCAGCTGTAAAAACGTATCCCAAACGCAAAAATACCAGCCTATGGTGACCTTAAGGTCAGCTTAGGTCAACCTAGGTAGGATTCACAAGCCGATGACAAATTGCAAGTGTTAACCGGATCTATGCGACAGGTATAATGTTTTTCGGAGGTCAGAAATAATGTGATATACATCTGCAGCTACCCAAGATCACATAGCCTTGTACACCTTATACATAATGCTGTCCACGCTTGGTAAGGTATTTGTAACGAACTGAGAGCGGGCACGTTTGTGTGGACAAATTTAATGCACCACCTCCACAAACACGATATACAGGTGGCTACACGTGTCACACCCGTTTATCTAGCATCTCCGCTGCCGACAACGGAGGGCATTGGCCTTGGATGACCTCATATGAACTTGCATGCTCTCGCGTGGCCTGTTGTGGGCTCATTATGCATTAAATTATAACACATGTTTTTCAGTGGTGTATCTAAATCATGTGCCAAGAAATACCGGATAAAATTTATTTTTCGAGCTCAGCATGTGTTTTGTAGACTGCACCCATATAGGTAGGTCATGACCTGGGCCAAGCTCATGTGCTCTATGATCATATCATCGTTGTGCATGTGAGCTAGTACCCTCCTCCCTTTATGTGAATACCAACACTACGCAAAAGCGCGTAAAATTTTTCTCACTTACGATAAAATATCAAAAAATCATCTGACTATAGGGCAGAAATCCTCTTCTCTCTAAAAATCTAACATATGCAATTGAAATGTATTTTCATCTTTTGATACTAAAACAAAATTGGGCAACTGGCAAATAATTCACAAAAAAGTTGCGTTTGGTCATAACTTTTCAGAGGTTGGTAGATAAAAAAGTTCAAATTTGCGCACAGGATGCCAAATTAATAGATAAACAGGTATTGGAAGTTTGGGTTAGTGCGAACGTTCAGATTTGAGCTCTGCTCGAAAATCTGGAGGGGAAAGTTATCTTCCTTCCAGCCGGGCGTGGGTTAAGCCATTCATCTTACAAATTGTCATTTCGGGACATTGACCACCACACGCGAACCCACTCGTCAGGCCCGCGCGTGGCGAGCTGAGCGATTTGGCCCTCACCTGTCACAGCGGGCGGTCCGCCCGCTGAACGGTTTCGTAAATGAGAGGATGATGTCCCGGCCCATCCGATCCAGTGAAGGAAATCAGACGCTTTGAAACGTGTTTGATTTATGAACTTGGCACGCTTCGATCATGCAAGCGGCATCATTCAACCCGGCATAACATTTCATTTCTGGAAACGTGTCACTTACCACAGTTTGTGCGAGGTCATCACGTATCGTGATATGACCCGCACTCCAGTTTAAGTTTCCAACCTTTTTCACCTCAAAAACCTTAACTGAACTTATGTGCACATTAAAATCACAGATTGATATCAATTTTAGAACATTAGGCTGCCCGACTTAGCGACCATCACGCAGGACTATGTTTGCATATGTATGTATATATATATATATATATATATATATATATATATATATATATATATATATATATATATATATATATGTATATATATATATATATAGCACAATATTATACATATATATATACATATATATATATATATATATATATATATATATATATATATATATATGTATAATATTGTGCTTACATATCTTGCATTACTTAGCGGTGAACCCGTTATGACGTCTGGAGATCAGATCGCTCTGCACTTTGGGCTCTCTTTTATACAAGTTTCGTGAAATCGGAGGAGTCGATGTCTGCTGAATATCGATATCGAACTGCTGCGAGCTTTACCCACGTATGCCACTGTGGGAGCATCATCAAGGGCAATTTTAGCGACGCAATATCATCGTCACTTCACGGCTTCATCTGCGAATTTCGTGCCTGAAGGAGCCTGGCTTCTGGTTCCAGGGCAGCGACTTCAGCGGCGTGGCGCGCAGCCAAGCAGATCCACCAGCACGTCAGTAGCGGAAAAGTGGACTTTTGAACACTTTTCAACGGACATTTACCTTCGGTGCGCTGTGATGCATTGCACACATTACCTTGTTTGTACGGCTGTGACCTTTGTACCCCATGAAGGTCGTAATCTCGCCAAAAGAGCTGGAGATCCAGCCTTTTTAACCACTAAGCCCGGTCCCATCGGGGTGCTTCAAGCGTCTGCAGTTACTGTCCGCGCGGTGCCCCCCCCCCCCCCTACCTTCAGTGATGCGTATGCGCGTGCTTGGTAAGGTGGTAAGTCCATGTAATTAACGGATATTCGTTCGGTGAAGCGTCGGCCGTTCACGGGGCTGCAGAAACTGCACCTCGATGTTGGCCGAGAACTGAGACGCAGCTGGATTTGTTCTCGCGGCTCGAGACTAAGTAGGGGGGGGGGGGGGGCGACCCGCCAACCGATTCAGGGAGCCGAACTGCACGTATGGTACCCGCTGAGGCCTCAGTGGCCGCTTTGGAGTGCAAGAACCGGGCTATGTGTTCGTTCAACAGGAGATCATGTGGCCATCTTGGAATGCATCAGCTAACTGTGTGTGGAATCTGTTAAGGCCAAAAGAACCGCTACGGGACGCGTGATCTGAGTTTTGTATGAATCCCGCTGAGTTCATAGCGGCCAGCATGGGACGCTGAGCCCGGGCTTTGTGCAGAGTGGCTGGGCTCGTAGCGCGAGTGTGACCCGGACTGTGAGAGGCCTACTGGGGTAGCAGCGACCTATTTTGGACGTTAAAGCTAAGCTGTGTGGAGTGCGCTAAGCCCACAGGGGTCGCCACCATGGGATGCTTGGTCCGGACTCTGTATGTAAGGTTCTGAGACCATAGCGCGCTTCGTCACATACCAGACTACCTGAGGCCTGTTCGCGAAACAGCGCGCCAGACACGGCGGTTCGCAACTATAGCATCATAAATTGTTCGACGAAGCTCAGCCGATATGTCCAAATTGCCCGGCTCAAACTGTCCAAGCTGACCCAGCCCGAGGACCGTTAGCACACAACTAGGGGAGGGACAAGAATTGATGGACGATACCGCAGCAAATTTGTCTGCAGAAGCGGAGAACACAGCATTTATTCACAGTATATTCCACCTACTGTGTCACTGTCCACCAGAAGTGCAGTCATTCCTGCCGGAATATTATGCACTGTGCGGGGCCGCACGCACCAGGGTGATAGCTGCCACGCGCGCAACACCGGCAGAGCGAAGGCTCCAACGACGTCACGCTACGCGACTGGACGAACTGGGCGCTGAAATAGTCCTATCCCTCTTGTACAGCCTTGGCATGGCGCGGCTGCGACGGCAGTCGGCTCACGCGTTTGAAGATGTCGGAGGTAGGGGCTGGTAGGGAGAGTGTGAGGTTCTAGGTAAGTAAGTATAGGCCAAACTGCAATGTATATATATATATATATATATATATATATATATATATATATACATATATGTGTATGTATTACCTGGAAAATTTCGGCGTAGCAGCCCCTGGCAACAATCTGAGCGCATGTACGTCGCAGATCCGAGTGCTTTGAGTTCAGTGCGCAATTGACGCTGATTTCGGCGCCTAGAGGGACAGTGTTGTCGGGAAAGGTCATGTTAGAAAATAGCATAGGACAAAAATGGGTTAAAAATATTTGTCCCAAAATATATGTAGATGCAGCACACTTTGGCGTGGTCTGAGCCTGAGCTTGGTGTGTGCAGGCACAGGGTTCAGCTCACATATTACTCTGTTGGTTTTTGTGGTACAGGTGCCAAGTATAAGAAAGGTTGAATGTCTTGTAATAAAAAGGTTTATGGTGAGCACAACAGCAGGAATATTGCAAGCAGTATCCTCCTAACAAAGTTGTAGGTTGTTATTTTTACAATGATGTTTGGTTAGTGGAATCCATGTGAGTAGTATATTAAATCTAGCCTTTAATTATTAGAGTTTTTAGAATGTTTGAGAATATTTATGTTTTTATTAACTTTTTGTTCTGTTGGTGTGGCTTAGTAACCACCAAAACAACACTTCTAATCTTGGTCAGCTTTTATGGGTACAACATGAGACAATGCACTGATGCAAAGATACAGATATGGCAGCCGTGAAAGGTAGTATATTGCATAAGACATTGATCAACATGTCTGAATGCCAAACAGAATATTAATTGTATGCATGCAGTGCTCAATTCTGACCAGATACTGTGCAATCCACCCTATGCACATCTGATCTATTGCACATTGTTTCCACTAGTTTTTTTAGCATCTGGTGTGAATTTCAGTTTGGTAATCCAAGATTCATTTCTTCTTGCAAGCTTGCATGCTGCTCCAGAAGCAACATTTTGGATACAATCTTAAATCTGATCTCTATCCAACACACTTTAGTAGAAGAATATTTTTGCTGTGGCAGCCATTGTGACATAAACAGGTCTAATATAAGCAAGTAGAGCTTTCATGTCAGCAGGGTTGTTACATCAGGTGTGGGATGACCATGGTAGAGCTTAGGGGTGAGACAGGATCTCATGAATTATTGCTGATGTGGAATGTTATATATGTTCAATTAGACTCAAGTCTGTCTTGGATAATTTTAAGGCATTTCAGCACTTTTCTATTCATGTCTTTCAGCTTTAATACAATATCAGATATATTTGCCTTGTCATTCATGAATGGAAGAACTAAGTCCAGTAGGTGATTCAGCATTTGTTTAGAGCAGATATCAGCAACTCCAGAAGCATACAAGTCTCATTGGAATGATGGAGTTCCAGCGGAAGCAAAGCTACTTGGAAATGCCAATTGAAGTTGGTGTGAGGGTAAGTTAAACATTTAGTGTTTTATGTAGTATAGGGTGTAGCTTCAATTCCTTTTCTTGTATCATTTGGTATCCAGCCTTGTTTATATGTCATATGAGAACTGTTCATGTCAAGAACTGGAGTTTAACTACAAATAGGTTGTTATGGAGACTTATGTGGTTTTGATCTGTGTGAAGTTTATTTGGGTCCAAATTCAAGTAATGTGTATAGTTTTATTGCATCATTCTGAAAAACAAACACACTACATGATGCCAATGCTGACTGGTGTGTGACTTATGTTACATTTGTAATTTGGGGTCTGTGGGCAATAATCTCATTATTGCAAGGGAGTCATCATTATAAATTTAGAAACTTTTCATACCCTGCCATTGCTGTCTCAGCATCCGGCTCTGTCTTCTTTGCTGTGTATAATGATTAAACTATGGCCTAAAGCTATCACTACCAAATCACTGTTAATGGTTCAAATCCAAGAATTGCTGCTCTGTGACCTGTGTACTGGTGTTTGTGAACTGTTCTCATCAGGCCAAATTTTGCCATAGAATGCTCACTCCATCCTCACTTCCTGGCTGTGGGTGACAAGTGTTCTGCTCTGACCCAGCTGCGGCCCGTGCTGGAGACGGACGACCCGCCGTCGGACGAGCGGGTCGAGCTGCTGCCCGGCGGCCAGGTCACGGTCGAGGGCCATCTGTTCGAGCCGACCTTCTGCCTGCCGGCGTCCGTCAGCCAGCAGGACCTCTACTTGGCCGCCATCGAGCCACAAGTCGAGATGATGCTCCAAGGTCAGTGGAGGCCAGCGCCGAACGCACGAGGGCACGGCGGCGCGTGATGCGTGCGTGGCACAGTGTTCATGTGGTAGCATGCGCTGTGACAGGCGGCCCGGCTCATTATTGGAGTGTTGGCACGAAACAGGCGCTATTCTTTAGGCTCTTAATGTCGGGTGCCGCTTCAAAATGACTGGGACGTCTACCGTTGTGTCTCCAGCCGTTCTGGCCGCGTTCTGAGAGGACCGGAGGCCGTCCAGGCTGCACCTCCTCTATGTCCTGCGCCTCCCCTCCCCACGTCACCGCACCGCTCCCGCGTGCGTCGCCCGTGCTGCGGCTCAAACCACGCACCTAGACGCTGCCGTCACGAACTGCTGTTAGGCCGGTTCCGTGCCGCCGCTCTCTGCCCCGACCGACGCCGCCCTGCCGTCTCCCCGCCAACCGGCGCGCCCCGCCGCCTGGCGCGCACCATCGCCGCTCACAGTTCACTATCGTCGCAGGCTACAACGTGGCAGTGGTGGCGTTTGGCCAGACGGGCTCGGGCAAGACCTACACCCTGGTCGGCCCGGACGCCACGTTCGCCATGACCGAGGCCGAGTTCGGCATCCTGCCGCGCGCCGTGCGCCACGTGTTCGCCGCTCTGAAGGTACGTGCGCCGCGGCTTGGCTGCATTGGATGTACGCCGGCACAGAGATTGGGAGAGCCGGGGCGTGCGGCGTACTCGCGCCGCACGTGCTGAGAGTCGGCCTCCGGAGTCCGCGTGTCGGAAGGGGGTTGGGGAGGGGGGGGGGTCGTTCAGGCAATGTTTGATGTTCAAATTGGTATGTTTCTGGGAGTCACGAGCCAGCACGCGTCATGTACACGGGTTTTGAGCGGTCGATTCGAACGACACTGGAGTCATCTCGTGCTAGGAGTGATGGTGTCGTGTGCGCCTTTTGTTCTCAAACCACCAGCGGGCGGCCGACGTCGCATTCGTTGATGGGTTTCGCGTTTGTCACTGCCCGATTGTGACGGGGCGGCTCGCCGCAGTCCGGAGCCGCTGGTCCTCCACTGCAGAACCGCGTGTAACGGTAACGCGCCCCGTCCCATGTCGTGCGGGCGCAGCAGACGGCAGACGAGGCGGTCGAGCACGCCTGCACCGTGCGCGCCAGTTACTTGGAGGTGGGCCAGGAGGAGGTCCGCGACCTGCTCAACTACGAGGCCGTCAGCTACCACCTGGACGTGCAGTTCGACTCGCAGGTCCGTCTTGCGAGCAGGGTGGGGGGGGGGGGGGGGGCGGAGGCCAGGGTCAACACCGACCCCGTCGACTGGCTGGAGGGTAGGGACAGCGTTGACGTGGTGAGCCGACTTGTGGCGATGGCCCAGAGCTGGAGTGTCTGTCGTCGTTTGTCCGTGACGTTAATGGCCCATGCGAGTCCACCACGCGTAGCGTTCTCATCTGGCTGTGTTCGTCTCGGGTCCACGGGGGCCTGTAACTGTGCCCGCACCTTGCACCTGTGTGTACCTGTGCCTGCACCTGCACTGGAATAGTTTCCGTGGTAACTGCTCTCTGTACGTGTTAGTGTGGGATCTTTCAGGGCGGCCTCAGCCGTCCCCCCCCCCCCTCCTCGTCCCCCCCCCCTCCCAGTGCCTCCTACTGTGGTGACGCCGCCGCTGGCCGGCGCCGCCAGGGCTCGCCGGTGGTGCCAGAACTGACGCGGCTGGAGTGTTCGTCGGTGGCTGAGGTGCTGCACTGCCTCGAGTCCGGCTCCTCGATGCGCCAGGCCGGCTCCACGGCCGCCAGTGACCTGCAGGCGCACACCGTCTTCACCGTGTGCGTCGACCAGGAGTGGGCCGACGGTAGGTCAGGCACCGCGTGCCGGCGCCGACGGGGCCGGTGGAGCGAGGCTTAGCTGTGGCGTGTTTGGTCCTGAGGGTTGACTAATGACGCGGAGTGGGTGCTGGGGGTGAGTTGGTCGCAGGCAAATATCGCGCCAGAAGACCTGCGTGTTTTGGTCTTGGAGTGTAAGATTTTGCAGTTATTTACTTACGCTGTTGGTGTGAACTCACTTTCATCAGGACTTCCTACCATGTAGTTACCTGCGGCGAGTGCGTCAGCTGGATATGCAGCCGAGACGATATTCTGAGGCATCGTAGACTGATTTTTATTCGGTTTTGTCCTCTGAAAACGTAAGCGCACGAACGCATACCGTTGAATTTGCAGTTGCAATGACTCGAACGTACTAATACGCATCGTTGCATGCACCGAGCACCGCCCACGGAAGCGATATGGAACACGTAATGCAATGACAGTATGGGCGTGTGTCACGCGTCCTTCCGTCACACTTTCACTTCAAAACCTTCAACCGCGACAGTGGCGACAGCGAGATCATCCACCACCGATGGCATGACACGTATTGCGAGCGTGTCCGCCAACCGCGCGCCGCGCGACCCACCGGCTGGTCCGGACGCCGCGCCGACACCGGTGCCCCGTCTGCCCGCCAGGCCCGCTGCTGCACGAGACGTCTTCGGCGCTGCACTTTGTCGAGCTGTCGGGCTCGGAGCTGCAGCCAGCGCTCGACGACCCGGACGACTTCACCATCAACGCCGGCCTGCTGGCGCTGGCCGATGTGACGGAGGCGCTCGCCCGCCGCCGTCGGTCTGTGCCCTATCACCGCTCCAAGCTGGCGGCCGTGCTCAAGGTGAGGACTCCAGCCGCACCCTCTCCCTCCCTACCCCCTCCCTCTTCCTCCCTCAGCGCCGCCACCGCCATCGCTGCTGCCACTGCCGCCCCTCCGGGCCCTACCACCGCTCCAAGTTGGCGGCCGTGCTCAAGGTGAGGACTCCAGCCGCCCCCCTCTCCCTCCCTCCCTCCCTCCTTCCCTCCCCCACCGCTGCCGCCGCCGCCAGTCCGTGCCTTACCACCGCTCCAACCTGACGACCCTAATCAAAATGAGGAAGCGCCTGAAGGGCGCCGCGCCGGCAATCGGTGCTTTGCGGTTATCAGTGTGTGCGCCCCCGGCTTTGTGAAGACGACTTCGCTGGGTGGTGTCGTCGCTCAGGCTGTGCAGCTGGACACCCTCGAAGCTAGTGGAGGGTGTCGCGGCGTTTCCGCCCAAATCGCTACATATCGCCCGGCCATCTCGGCGCCGGCGTCGGACGGCGTCAGCTCGCTCACCTCGGGGCCCTGTGGCCTGACGTCTGGCCTCGTGACCTGATCTCTGACCTTGTGACCCGTGGCCGCGCGCAGGACGTGATCGGCGGCAACTGCAAGACGCTGTTTCTGTGCTGCCTGTCGCCGGCCGACACGGACGAATCGCTGAACTCGCTGCAGTACGTGCGCCGGCTGCCGGCCGTGCACAATCTGGTGCGCTGCGGCGTGACGCGGCGGCCGCTGCCGGCGGCGCCGTCCGAGCCCGACTCGGGTCCGGGCCCGGCGCGCCAGGTGCACCCGGTGTACCCGCTGCGCCACGGGCGGCCCGGCTCGCCACGGCCGGAGCCCAAGCCGCCGGCGCCGCCCTGGCCGCCGTACGGGCGGGCCGAGGCGGCGGCGCCCGGCTGGCCTGCCGCGATCGGCGTCGGCCCGCACCCGGCCGAGCTGGCGGCGTACGGCTTCTCGCCGGAGATGGCGCTGGAGGCGCGGCTGGCGGGCCAGGTGCAGCTGTGCTCGCCGCTGGGGCAGGCTCAGCAGCAGGTGGGCAGCCAGGCGCCGGCGGGACAGGTGCCAAGTCAGCCCATGTCGCCTCGGCACCTGACGCAGGGCAACCCGGACCACGCGCACCAAATGCCGGGTCACGCACTGCCTGTTATCAACCAGATGCAGCTTGGCCTTGGCCAGTCCCGCCCTGAGCTGAACCGCTCACACCCCGGCCTGAACCGCTCGCACCCCGGCCTGAACCACTCACACCCCGGCCTGGCCCAGTCCCACCCGGGTCTGAACCAGAGCCTGCCGGCGTTCGGGCCGCACCAGAACCTGGTGGTGGGCCACATGCGGCAGGCGAGCGGGGGGCAGCCGCCGCTGGTGCACCCGTACCACCACCAGCCGTCGCCGGCCGGCCGGCTGGCCGAGCTGGGCTACACGGCCAGTCCACCGCTCACCAACCTCACCGAGCTCAGCTGCCAGCGCGCCGCCCTGCTGCACGAGAACGCGCTCGTCGACCTCTATCAGCGGCTGCACGTACTCGAACTGCACCAGCTGGCCGCCGCACAGCAGGCGGTGCTAGCTTCGCGACCGCCGCAGCAGCCGCCGCCGCCGGCGGCGCCTGAGAAACAGGAGGACGAGCAGCTGTTCCAGTGAGTCGGCATGTCCTGTTGCTTGGGTAGGGATGGCGGTTTCGCGGCATGCGGTCGTCTGTGTTGGGCGTACTGTTTTGTGTGATGGGTACCACTCACTGTTCTTGTGCAGTTTGATAACGTACGCTCGATTGAACATTTGCTAGACCCGTCTGTCAAGTGAGGGACGTCTAATATGTTTGGCGGTTGAAGCACGTTGGTTTTTACTGATGTGTGAGTTAGATGGACCAAACGTCGTTCAGCTTTTCATCGACCGCGTCGAACTTTGTAACTTTTTCAACTTCTCTGTCCGCCTAACCATCCTAATAATCCGGATCCCCGTCCTCACGGCGTGCGCTACCATTTCGCACCAGCGTAGCCCGCATCCCACGCCCTCGCCCGGTCGCTGGCGGTCGTTCTCGCCCCGAGTAATGACGGCCGGCCGCCGCCGCAGGCTGGAGTTCGCTGCGGAACAGTACCGCCGTCTGGTGGCCGGTGCCGAGCGTCTGCTGCGCGAGCTGGCCGGTCGCGGAGCGCTGGACGGCGAGCAGAGCGGCCGCGTCCAGCAGTGGATGTGCCGCAAGCAGGAGACGGACGAGTGCCTGCGCGCGGAGCTGGCGCCCGACGAGGAGGAGGAGCTGCTGCGCCTGGGCGGCGGCGACGACGGCAGCGGCCAAGAGGAGGAGGGCAGCGACAGCGCCAGCGCCGGCAGGACAGGTGTGGCGACGGGACCATGCACGGCCAGAGCGATGGGGTGCAGGTGGTGACGGGGTGGCGCTCCAGGGCCGGTGTGGAGGGTGTGACCACTGGCACAGCCGGAGTGGTGAGGTGAAGGTGGTGACGGGGTGGCGCGCCTGGGTCAGTGTGGAGGGTGTGACCGGTGGGAGGTTGCTCCGGGTGCTCCGTCCCGATGCACGGTGAAGTTGTGGATGCCGTCATCGAAAGCTCCCCGAATAGTGCGTGGGTGCCTTTTTGTGCTGCAGCCTGAGTAATGTACGTAGATGCATCGGCTTTTGACTCGCCAGCTGGTGAATTGGCGATTTAGTGCCATGTGGGCACGTGTTTGACACATTTTATTGCACATTTTAGCCATCTTCGCCGCACTTCAGCAGTAAGCGGGGGGGGGGGGTGCGCTGCCATAGATTTAGCGTCCCATCAAGTCAGCTCCTTTCCTCTTGGCTTAGTTCAGCACGTAGTTACGCCTGTACATGGTGAATAAGCCAGACTTGCCTCTGAATCGTGCTGCGCGCGCTGCTAGCTCCAGTGACGCGTCATGGTTGGCCGTCGCGGCAGTATCTGCCAGCCCCTGTCACCGCCCGGCCGGCATCGCCCTGACAGGCCGGCGGCCGCCGTGACGCCCTCGCTGTCCTCAGGCGGCGCAGCGGCCGGTGCCAAGGCCCGGCTCGCCACCGGCCCCAGCGGTGATCTCCGTGACCTGGCTGACCTCGGCGACGCCGTGGGCGCCCTGCGGCTCGCCGACGCTCCCGGCGCCGACGGCACGCGCTCAGGTCAGAGGTCGCGTCGCCCGGCTGCAGTCATGTGGGCCCAGCTCGGGCTGGCACGGCTGCTCCCTGTCCGCGCGTGGGGCTCGCTGAAATGAGGCCATGCTGAACCCGAAGCGCCCTCGTTGAGGCAGTGTATCGCCTTGTGAGGGTCGGCTGGTTTTTGGTTGTTCGACCCCGGGGTTCAGCGTCGCGTTTTTGTGATTTTATCGTGAATGGACGCAGGACTGTGACACTGAGTCACAGAGGCACGGTCGGTGCGGCGTCACGTAGGCAGGCGCTGCGCCTGCGCCTACGCTGGGCGCAGCGCTGGAGTGTGCGAATATGATACGGCCCAGGCGGACTGGGACCAGGCTCCACTGGCTCGGGCTAAAAAGAATCCGTGATTAAACGCCTGCGAAAAACATGACGGCAAATCAGCCACGGTTCCAATTGCTACGTAATGCGGAAATCAGGTTAATGATATTTGTGGATATTGGCACTTGTTTTTATGGATTGTCCATTTATTCCAGCCATTACGGCAGGCTGTGGCTCCGATTGAACGTACATTTTCAGAGCGATTTATGATTGATCCTCCACTCAAGGAAGCTTGTGTTCGATTCCGGAGTCACCTCTGGTTCCACGCGAGGTGAAACACTAGCTCGTTTACAATTGCGGCGCGTCTCCACATTTGTCTTGCTTGTGCATTGTTGAGCGGACATGGCGAAAGGCCCGCGTGAACAAACAATCCGCGCCTCATTTACACCCCTCTGGCATCAAGGTGTCTCACCCCAATGATTCTTTATAAATAACTGTTTGGCTATTGAGTCGCTATGTGTGGCCTCCGGCACTACCAGTTCCGGCCGTCATCACTGCATTCATCCATGCACGTACGTAAACAGCGCTACTTTGGCCGATGTGCTGCTCCACAATAAACATCAGATTGGGCTGAGCCGCGCCCGGCCGGTGCCAGGACGTCCCATGGTGCCTACGCGCGCGCATTGAAGGCATTTACGTGAGCAGGAACAGTCTCAGTAAGCAATCGTGGCGTATCCGCCCAGCCCGCATGAGGTCACGAGAGATTGACGAAGTCTGTCTAGGTTCCCCATACGGCGTCTGTGGGTTATGACGTCACCGTGGCGCTGGAAGTTGGTAATGCTATGGGCCGCATGCAGGCAGTCACTTCGCCGGCATGCCAGCGTATCCCAGTAGGCAGTTTGGCAAACCCAGGTCTGCTTCGGGAGGCAACGGGGCAACCTCTCCGATGGTGAGGTGATTTTGTCGAAATCATGCCTTTATCGAAGAAATGGTCTGTTAAAAATGATCGATCTTCTGTTGCCGCTACTGGCAATGCTGCAGTTTGGGCATCGAGGTGACGTCACACTCCACACGTCGCTACACCTGGTGTCTGCGGCCGCCTTGATGTCCATTATCACTGCCAATCGGATTGAGACCCCCTCCGTCCGCACATTCACTCGGCGCGTGTCGCAGCTGGACCTCGTTGGCGGTGCAACACGCGGACTCGCATCGCTCCGCCCACCACAGTCGTTCTCACGCGAAACGCGCTGGTGCCGCTCGGCCGTCGATGACGTCACACTGCGCGAGCCGATTAGAACCTGTCGGCCCAAGTGAGGCTCTGTGTGGCCTTGCTGATCTTGAAGAGCTCGCTCTGCACCAGACCGAGCTGACACTTGAGGTCGAGCACAGCGTGGCGCAGCTCGGCCAGCTGGTCGACCTGCTCTGGCGCCGCGCCGTCTGTCTCCTGGTCTGCGTCTCCTGATTCCTGGCTCCCGTTGTCCCTCTCCTGACTCCCGCCGCTGCCGCCGTCGCCGCCGTCTGTCTGCTCGTCTCCTGCGCCGGCGCCGGCGCCGGGCGGGCCGGACTCCTCCCAGTCGTGCCGCTTGGCTAGCACGATGCTGGTGGCGTGGCGCAGCAGCTGGGGCTGCTCGGCCAGCCAGCAGCGCAGCACGGCCGCGCTGGCGTCCTGCTTCTCGGTGTCGCCGCTCCACGCGCCGAACATGACACGCCAGCGTAGCCGCCAGCCGACGGGCCGCTCCAGCGGCTGGCGCCAGTCGGCGCTCAGGCGCCGGCCCGGCAGCAGGCTGAGCAGCGTCACTCCCACCGTCGGCATCAGCTTCCAGAGCGTGCCGCGCGCGCGCCACTGCATGTGCCGCTCGAAGATGTAGGCGAACTCCAGGTACTTCTTGTGCAGCTTGATCTCGGCGCACGCGGCCATGTCGCGCGTGTCGTTGACGGCCATGCCGACCATGGCGTTCATGGTGATGATGAGCATGAAGAAGATGAAGAGCAGGTAGACGGCGTAGCCCACGCCGCTGCCGGCCAGGTTGTCGGCGTCGTAGTTGAGCTCGCCGATCGACATGACGACGGTGGTGAAGAAGGCGCGGTACATGCTGTTGAAGGGCGCCTGCTCGTAGAAGAGCACGAAGAAGCTGCTGGTGAAGGCGAACGTGACTGCTGTGTAGACCATCATGAAGACGGAGAGCGTGCGGATCAGCGTGACGAAAAGCATAACGTGGATCGAGGCGAACTCGGCACGGCCGAAGAGGAACAACAGCTCGGTCCAGGAGACAAGCAGACATACGGAGGCCACCTCGCGGATCTGACCGAAGTCGACCAGGTCCGCGCACAGGCATGCGATGGCTGTGGAGGTGCAGAACCAGATGATAATGTTCTCGGCGCCGCGGATGTAGGGCACGAAGCCCAGCACCCACAGCTTGAGCAGCTCCCGGAGGTTAATGTAGCCACAGAGCGCGGCCACGATGTAGAACATGATGGTCGACAGCGGCACGTCGAAGACACTGAGGTTGAAGTCGACGCCGAGCTCGGACCGGCTCGGCGCCTCGGTAGTGACGGTGCTGTTCCTCAGTTTGTTGTCAACCACCGTGAAAATGAACACGTTGAAGCTGACGACGAACAGCGCGAACATGATCACGTCGATGATGTAGAACGGTGATATCACCTTCCACTTGAGGTTGATGAAGCTCTTGCAGAGCGGATGGAGGAAGAGCTGGTCGCGCGTGTGCGTGTTGTCGATACTGTTCATCAGGCGCGTCTCAATGAAGCGCTGCTGGGCGTCCTCCACGTCGTCCAGGAGGCACGGGTTGAACAGCGAGTAGTCGAACTCGACCGAGCGGGCGCCCCAGCCGAGAGGCCGCTCGAGCCGGAGTGAGCGGTCGAACGCCACCTCCAGTGCCTGCGGGAACTCCGCGGCCAGGTGACGCAGTGCCGTCCGACCGCGCCCGTTGCGCAGGTCGGCGCGCGCGCCGGCCTCCAGCAGCAGCACAGCGTGGCGCCGGTTCTGTGCGCGCAGCGCGCAGTGCAGCGCCGTGTCGCCGGCGTCGTCCTGCGCGTCCAGCTGCGCGCCGCGCGCGCACACGAGCAGCTGCATGACGTCGCTGGGTGCCTCGGCCAGTGCGGCGGCGTGCAGCGGCGTGCGCTGCGACGAGTCGCGCGCCGCCGGGTCGGCGCCGTGCTCGAGCAGCATGCGCACCACGGCCGCCGAGCCGGCGCGCACGGCACGGTGTAGCAACGTCTCGGAGCCGGGCGGCGGCTCCTCCTCGCCTGCGAACGCGGCGTTGTCGGCGCCGAGCTCGTCATCGGCCGGCTGCACTGGTGACGCGCCGAACGGCGGGATATCGAGCCGCGCCGACCACGGACGCATGAAGCGCGGCGAGCGCGCCTGCGGGATCGGCGAGCGGCGCGCCGCCTCGCTGGCGGCACGTGACGTGCTGCGCGAGGCGGGCGCGGAACGTAGGCCGCGGTTCGGCGCGGCCGGCAGCCGCACGTTCGGGTCGGCGCCGCGCTGCAGCAGGCTCAGCGTGGACACGGCCTCCTGGCCGCGCACGGCCCGCGCCAGCCGCGCGCGCAGCTCCTCCGGCGAGCTGCGTGTGCGGCGCAGCGTGGCGCGCGCCTCGCGCCGCGCCCGCGGACCGCCACGCATCGTGGCACCGCTAGACGCGCCCGGTGTCGCGTCTAGACGGGCGGGCTCCTCCCTGGCTGCGGGCGGCGCTGAGCCGCTCGCTGGCCGCCGTGTGTCGCCGGCGCCCCGCCGAGCGGCGTCTGTCTCCGGCTCTCGTCGTCCGCCCTGTCACCACTGCTGGCGCGGCTGTCGTCCGCCGCACCCTCGCGCTCACGCCCCACCGCCGACTGCCGTGGCGGCGGCCGGCCGCCGGCTCGCCAGACCGGTTATCTTGACCTCGGCGCGCCGCGCGCCGCCCGCCGCGGCCCCGGGCTCACGCCGCGGTCATCGTGGCCTGCCCGGGTGCCCAGCAGATAAGCGCACAAAGGTGGCTTATCGCAGGGTGCGTGCGCTCTCATGAGATGTCGTTGTCAAATGGGACCGGGCGCCGTCGGCTCGCGGGCAATTCTGCCGGGAAGGCCAGGCGCCGGGCCCTCGGCCTCGCCGGAAGTGGATTAGCGCCTTATTCGGCGGAGTAGCCGGACAGCCGAGAGGCTCGTGTCGTGACGGAGGATTTACTCGTTTCACCGGTTGACGAGCCCAGCAGGCCGGCAGGCTTGTACCTGCGTGAGTCATGGCAGGAAACCGCGCGAAGCCTGGCTGTTAGGCCCTCCGGTGCTCGGTGGTGCCATCTCGTCCGTCGACCCGGATGTTAACGGAACGCTGGATCTCTCACTGCTGAGAGACGAAATCCTCCGGTTCCGGAGGATGCCTTATTTTGTGTGCGATAACGCTGTAATAAGATGACGTACAATTCATTGATTTGCGAGCTTACGTTTGTCTGTCCGTCTGTCTTTACTTCTGTAGCCAGACGCACAGCACAGACAACTTCACGGATTTCCGTCATACTTGTGCTTTTGACTGGTCATCCTTCGTGATGATCCACGACATAAATTCACGCCCGTGCCGATACCGACGTCCGTCACAGCGCGCACGGTAGGGGGGGGGTTGATTTAGGTTTGAGCAAACAGATATTTTCCTGATGTTTGAGAAAGTCCCGCTGTGCAAAAGCCAGGCTCTCGAAGGCATGCCGCAAAGCTCGTGCAACAATGAATTGTAGCATCCACACACGTAGGGAACCTTCCCTTGACGCAGGCGCTGAAATAAGAAGCGCCAGGACCCACTGGGTATGATTGAGATATGTGGCTGGAGACGGTGGGTGTACCGACACAAACGGCGCCGGCTTGTCGCGCAGAAAAGCAAGCAAGAACCACGGCTCGGCATATATTCGATGTCCCTAGTGCTTGGAATAGCGCTGCACCGGCCGTGTGTCCGAGTTTTTCATAATTGTGTAGTAGTTCACAAATGTTGAGTCATGAACGTAGCCAAGGGGGCGGGGGCGCGGTGGCCAGGACCTGGATCATGACCGGAGTCAAGAGGTTTACATGGGATGCTGGGTGATTGGCAGAAATTCGGTCCAACCTCGCAGGACTTCAGAGAACATTTAACATGCCCCCTCCCAGAGTAGAGGAAGATTCTGGCTACGGGACTGTGTTAACTGATATCCGCCTCATATTGTTAAGACACGGGCCAACGATGCGTCGGTGTCGGCGGAAGTACCGACGCCAACAGCGTCGCCGTCCGTGCATGCGAGGCAAGCGGGAACGTCTTGTCTAGCCCATTAATTTCAGAGCATACGTCTCCGTTTCTGCCGCCGGTCTGTCCGCATTTGCTTGGCCAATCACGCAGCACAGATGACTGCACGAGCGTTGTGAAACTTGCGCTCACGGCGGGCTCGACCTTCGCGACGATCCACAAAATAAATTCACGCCGTCCGCTGTCGATGTCGGTCACGCCGCGCATGAGAGCGGGACATGTTTTGGGATGTAGCAGGAACGCTTTTGGTATATGTAAGGGAAGCGACTCGCGCAGAAGCCAAACTGTCGAAAACACGCCGCAAAACTCGAGCAACCTTGAGATGAGCGCAGCTTGGAACACTGAGCACCGGCATTGTGATCGTCGTTTAGCATTATAAGGTCGTGTAACCAGTACCTCCTAGTATATTGAGGATCGTCAGCGTGGCGTAAGAACTTGAGATGAGTTGGCAGTGATCACTATAGCGGCCTGGAGGTAGGCCGCCGTCATTTGCCGTAACCATCGAAGGCTTTGGAGGAATAAAAGAATCGGGACACACTGCACATTATTAGGCAGCGAGTCACTGGTGTATGGCTGGTGGCGTTGCTACACTGGAACCAACGGCGCCGGCTGATCGCGCTGCGAAATAGGCGGGGACAGCAGCTCATTGTTCTCCACTTCCTGAGATAAGTAAAGCATGCGGAAAGCGAAGAATCCGTAAAAGGGATTAAGATAGCAAAGAGTTAAGCCTGTCATGCCTGTCAGCTCTGTATTTCCACTGATTCCACTCACAGTGGGAGATTGCGTTCGGGTCTTGAACGTACCACCTGATTGGTTTGCATTTCCTTACCTGTCCGTGTTACGTGTTTCAGTCGTGGACGGGGAGCCTGCCGAAACGTCCACCCCAAATCATGGTTCGTCGGCCAGCCGCCAGGTGGCGGCCGACAAACTGCAGGCCCAGTTAAAGCAGCTTAACGCCACCCTGCAGGCCAAGGTAAGCGACGCCAGTCTTATCTACCGACCCGGCCTTTAGAGTGTAGAGTGGTGTAGACGGTTATATGGTGTCGTCTGGCGTGCCCGGCAGCGGGTCGGGCCGCGCGCCAGATAACCGGCGACCACATGCTGACCGCCGTGGGCCCAGTTTTCAGGTGGGCCCAGTGTTCAGGCGGGCCCAGCTTTCAGGCGGGCCCAGTTTTCAGATGGGCCCAGTTTTCAGCCAGCGGAGCCGGCGAGCGCATGCTGGGAAAGGGATTAACATGGCGCAATGAGTGAGACACCAGATTTCGGATCAGGAAGTGAGGTCACATTTGCCGCGTTACCCTTGTGTTCACAGGTCCGATTGCGTGCATCGGGCGTCTGACGGGTGTTCAGCTTGTCAGGGGTGTCTGCATGTGGTGTTTGGCTTGTCAGGGGTGTCTGCATGCAGTGCTCAGCTTGTCGGGGTGTCTGCATGTGGTGCTCAGCTTGTCAGGGATGTCTGCATGCGATGTTCAGCTTGTCAGGGGTGTCTGCATGCGGTGTTCAGCTTGTCAGGGGTGTCTGCATGTGGCGTTCGGCTTGTCAGGAGTGTCTGCATGTGGTGCTCAGCTTGTCAGGGGTGTCTGCATGTGGTGTTCAGCTTGTCAGGGGTGTCTGCATACGGTGTTCAGTTTGTCAGGGGTGTCTGCATGCGGCGCGATCATCGTTGGTCGTGCGGTGATCCTAACAGGTTCGTGATCTTTGCTCCAATCGGGGCATCAGCCGACTCATCCTCGAGGCGAACGACGGGTGGGAGCCCGTCAACGATCGTCCTGTCCGTAGTCAGCTGAGTAATGGTGTCTTGGTGACGCTGTCGAGGGAGGATGGGCGGACTGAGCCCTTTGTTGACGTCGCCGTGTCCTTTGGCTCGGTGCGTGGTGCCATGTGCAGTGGGTCTCCTGTAGTTCCGGGTCGTGATCGGCGCCCTCTGCCGCAGGAGGCCCAGATCCGGGCCTTGACGGGCGGCGAGCGGCGGCCGACCACCCCAGACCACCGGCCGACCACCCCAGACCACCGACAGACCTCCTCGGACCGCCAACAGACCACCCCAGAGCACCGGGATCCGGACTCGCCGCCTGCCGGGCAGGTGAGTCTCAGTAGTGAGCGCACCGTCGGGCGATCAAGGAGCCCATGGCGGGTAAGCAACAGCAGCAGAAGACCACAGCGTGCAAGAAATAAAAAAAGGAACGCCCAAGCCGTTTGGTTTCATGTGTTTCTGGGACCGGAGCCCACGTTGAGCAGGACTTATTGCGGGAGGCCGAGGCGACCATTCTAGCGTGAAATTCCAGGTCAACGTCATAATGTTATGGCGAAGGTCGGCCTGCGGGAATGCTCGGCACGGTCCTTGCCACCCTGTGACGTCACCAGCTCAGCGCGGCCGCTGCCACCGGCCGCAGGTCAGCCCTGTCACGGGCAGATAGCGAACGCTTAAAGCAACTCGAACCCACCCCGTCAGAGGTGGATGGATCGGAGAACAGGCGCTCCAATGAGTTGGGCTTCCAGGACGGACAAAGCGGTACGTGTCAGGGCGCCCTCTGTCGTGGAGTCTGGCGAGGCAGGCAACACTCGTGGTCGAGTCCCCCCGTCGCTTACAGTCGAGCAGTGGACGCGCCGGGATGGGGCTCACTGGCCCGTCTCCGGGCTGCCGCGCCAGGCGAGCTCGGGCTCAGTCCAGCAGTAGACGTGCCGGGAGGGGGCTCACTGGCCCGTCTCCGGGCTGTCGCGCCAGGTGAGCTCGGGCTCAGTCGAGCAGTGGACTCGCCGGGATGGGGCTCACTGGCCCGTCTCCGGGCTGTCGCGCCAGGCGAGCTCGGCCCCAGTCGAGCAGTGGACTCGCCGGGAGGGGTCTCACTGGCCCGTCTCCGGACTGTCGCGCCAGGCGGGCTCGGGCTGCCGGCCCGGCCGCCCGGCGTTCGGCCGTGGGGTCCGGGATAGGGTCAGAGGACAGGACACGCCGCTGCCGGCTGGTCACGCGGGTCAGGCTCGGGCACCGGCCGGCCAACCGGGCGATCGCGCTGTTGCAAGGCGTCTGATTGGTGAGGCAGGCTGGAGGTAGTTGACGGACGCGTTAACGCTAGTCGACGAACGCGCTAATGGTAGTCGACGAACGCGCTGGGCTATACAAGACGAACGGCCAGTTTGGCTGCTGACTAGCATTTGGCTGTTTGTGGAACTGTCTTATTGTGCGTAGAGTTTGTGTTTTGTAGTAAACAGGATGTCATTCAGCGTGTTACATAAAGAGCCAGGCCTCCGTCAGAAGCCACTCTCCGTCGGCCAGGCCCCAGCTGCGGCAAAACGCCGCCGGTGGTGGCAGCAGTGGCAGTGTCCGCCCCGGCCGGCCTGCCGCCAGCCGGTCCCGTGCCGCCCTGCTGATGGGCCGTCGCTTGTTTCAGGGCGCCGGCTGCCGGTCCCGCTCACCGCCGTCGGACCCGTTCCAGAGGCGACGCCGCCAGGCGTGCACTGAGCGAGACCTCAGGTGGGCAGGGCCGCCGCCGGAGCGCCACGGGCGCGCGCCGGCGGTGGTGAGAAGCGTCGCGAAAGAGGATGATGAGGGATGTTGACTCGTCGATGTATTAGTGTTTTTGCGTCCGAAGCTGTTGTGTGTGACACAGCTTTTTGATGGGTTGAACAGCGGCGAAATCTTGTTAATCGTTGTACGAAAATAATGATGGTTGTGATTTTAGTTTTTGCGGTCGGTAATAATTTGTCGTTTTGTCGTGGCCCCCGGTTGTGTAGACATTGGTTCTGCGCATACCACCACCGTAGCTCGCAGCGCGTAAACCCAACCCAGGTATAATGCTTTAGGCGTTGGCTCATCGATGCGCTGCCGTCTCTGCGTGGTGGAGATGGGAGCCCGCGACAGCTCTGGTCGATTACACATTGGACACGCTATCGCTTTATTCTTATTTCAAACAATTTTTGGGTGTATGGTAGGGGTGAAATGATAAGAGCAAAGTTAGCCAGCGCCGTTCAGGTCCTTGGGGGACAACTCGTGACTAGGCAACTTGTTTGGTCGGGAGCGGTAAGCGAGGCATGGGTGTGACATGAGCGCGGTCAGCCTTGGTCAGCCGCTGACCACAGACATGTGGTCAGCCGTGGATGTCCGTCTGTGCCCTCGCTCTGGCGCTGAAACCGTGCGCCCTCAGCGCCGACCCTAGCTAGCCGCTGATTGGGTGCGATCCCGGACTGGCCGCGCGTCCCCTGCCCGTGGTGCGTGAAGCCCGGCGAGTCCGCGGTCCTCCGCCAGTCAGCGCGGTCTCGGCCGCCCCACCGCTGCTCTCTGAGCGGCGCAGCTGACGCCAGACCCGCCGCAGGCTGCTGCGGGACTCGGACGACATCAGGAGCCTGCGCGAGCGGGCCGACGACGCGCTGGCGGCGGCCCAGCCGGACCTCGAGCGCCGCTCCAGTCCGCTGCCGCCGCTGCCTGGGCCGGCCTTCTGAGCCGGCCTCTGAGCCGGCCGCGGCCAGGGCCGACAGGGTGGGCACCGCTCTCCAGCCGGGTCGGGTCGTGTCGCTGCCGTACGGTCAGCTCCGCGTCCCCTGGGGTGCGGGTGGGGCGGTGCCGACGGTAGCGTGGTGGGTGTGGAGCCATCCTCGTTCCGTCTGGCTGGCTGTCGCATATTCAGAGAGATTGTGTTCCGAGTAGGCTACCGGTTGAGGAGCTCGTGCGGCCATGACTCGAGCGGCTGGTGGCCTGACCACCCGCTCGTGTGTGCTAGAGATGGGCGCTGGTAATCTGCTGCTGTGTACAGTGTGCGCTCCTCTAACGCCTGTAACTTGATACCGTCTAGTGGCCGCATTCATTGACTTAACCCCAGCCGTTGTCACTGGACGTGTGTGACCTGACGCTGTCCACAGTTGGACGTGTGTGACCTGACGCTGCCCACAGTTGGACGTGTGTGACTTGTCGCTGCCCGCAGTTGGACGTGTGTGACCTGACGCTGTCCACAGTTGGACGTGTGTGACCTGTCGCTGCCCGCAGTTGGAGTCTGTGTACTGTGAACCTGACGCTTGTCCACAGTTGGACGTGTTTCGTGACTGTCGCTGCCTGCTCGCAGTTTGGGCGTGTGTGGACCTTGACGCTGTCCGCAGTTGGACGTAGTTGGACCTGACGCTGTTTTGTTGGGGGTCCGGTGGTGTGACCTGACGCTGTCCGCAGTTGGACGTATGTGACCTGACGCTGTTTGCGGTTGGACGCGTGTGACCTGACGTTGTCCACAGCTGGACGTGTGTGACCTGACGCTGCCCACAGCTGGACGCTTGTGACCTAGCGGACCCGGACGGCGAGCTGGAGCCGACGCAGCCCGGCGCCGGCGGTCAGACCGCCGCACGCGAGGAGATTCAGCGCCTCCGCGAGTGCCGCGACTCGCTGCACAACCAGCGGCGGCGTATCAACGCCAAACTACACCAGGTGCCGGCCGCCGTGTGTGCCGGTTCACTCAGCGCTGGGCAGCGCTGGCCGGCGATCGCCCTGGACGACGCTGGCTGGAGATCGCTCTGGGCGGCGCTGGCTAGGAATCGCTATGGACGGCGTTGGCTAGGGATCGCTCTGGGCGGCGCTCGCTCGGGATCACTCTGGGCGGTGCTGGCTGTGGATTGCTCTGGTGGCGCTAGGACGCGGAGCTGTCTTGTTGTGGTCGTCTCGGAGCTGGAGTCGGCTTGGGTCACGGCTGGGTCGTGAAGCTGTCGGCGGACCGGGTCTCTGTACAGCTGACTTGACGTGTGGGTGCCCTATCCTGGCTGGGCGGTGGTTGCAACGGGCTGGTCTGATCTGTTTTGATTTAGTAACGATGCATCTTTAATCAATGTTTAGATCGAGACCAATGCTTCATTGCGCGGAGAGATAGATGTGCTCGTCGTGCACAGTTAACTCTGCGTTAGCCGGTAGGTGATTCCCACGGAGCCGTTATTGTCGTCTGATGCGTCAAAGAGCGTCACGAAAATGCGCATGTTCGCATCGCCCAATGTTCACGAACATGCTCCACCTTAAACACGTCATTTGCGTGGTGTCCTGCGCGACGCATCTTCGGCCGCACGTCCACGGTTAGCTGACCCCGTCCGGCGCGTGGCCGCAGGGCCGGCAGCTCGACGCGGCCGAGGCGCGGCGGCTGCTGGAGCTGGACGAGGCGCTGCACGCCGTGGACGAGGTGCTGGAGCACAAGGCGGGCCGACTGGCGGGCGGCGCGCCGCCGCCGGATGCGCGCCGCCTCCTGCTGAACCAGCGCGACCTGATGCCGCGCCTGCTGGGCCTGGCCACCGCCGAGCTGCGCCTCCTCTACTGCCGCACCTTCCAGCGGCTGGTGGACCAGCGGGTCGATGGCCTCGACAAAGACGTCGTTGTGGCCGGCCTGGACGTGAGTGGACGGACTCGGGGGGGTGGAGAGCGGGAACTTTGGGAAGGCTGTTAACGTGTCGCGTCGAGGTGTGTGTATGTGCTTTGTGCGAACGTCTGAAGAATGTGTGATGGCGTGTGTGCGCGTCTGCGTGTGAGTGAGTGTGTGCCACTTGTCGTGTCCGCCCTGACGGGGAGAAGCGTAACGCGCTGTGACATGTACCGCTTACTTGCCCTGCCTGGGGCAGAGCGATGATCATTTGCGATTCATTACAACTTCAGTTCCAAACAGTTCGTATCCTTTATTGTAGAATAAAATACCATTGTAATGCATGTACAGGGAATCAGCGCCCAGACAGGGAACTCGAGCTACAGCTATTTTTCTAACGCTACGAACACGGGCAAGAGCAGCCCTGGCCACGGCCGTCCGGATTTTGTCGGCCCCACTGGGCGGCACCTTCTTCGCTTGTGCCTCGTTGCCGGGCGCCGCCGCCGAACACAGGCCCAGAGCCGACCATAACGAATAAGAATTATCGTGAGAAAGTTGTGTGGTATTGTCGATGTTTCGGTGAGAGTGACTCAACTTGACGCCATGGCAGTGGTACGCTCGCGCTGCCGCCGCTTCTGAACCCATTCCACCTCGTCCATGATCCCACCTGTGATTCCACCCCTGAACCCATTCCCACCCCCACCCTGACCACCCCAACCCCATCCCGAGCCCATCTCTGACCACCTCCTGATCCCGCCCCTGACCCCACCTCTGACCTCACCCCTGACCCCACGCTGACCCCAACTCGGCGTCTCCAATGATCCCAGCCTCCCCCCCCTCCCCACCCCCACAGTTGGCCCCTCTCTGACCGTGCCTCTTGCCGTCGGCAGGCCCAGGTTGACGACCAGCTGCGCGGCATGAAGCGGCTGGAGCGCATGGTGCAAGACCTGATGCGCGAGCGCAGTCACTACAAGAAGCAGCGCGACGAGCTGCGCCGCCGACTGCACGGGCCGCGCGGCTCGGCCGTGCTGCCGGCGCCGCCGCCGCCACCGGCACCACCGCCGGCGCCGCCGGCCGCCCTGGCGCCGCCGCTGCCGCTGGAGCCGGCCGTGGCACCGGCGCCGCTCGTGCAGAGCAGGGCGGCCAGCGACGCCAGCAGCGCGCCGGGTACGTCTCGGGTGCCGGCAGGGCGCCGCGGGTGCCGGCAGGGCGCGGGCTGCGCTTGGGGCGCCCTCTCGGCCGTCAGCGGTCCCCTGGCCGGCTGGTGCGGGTGCTGGCATGGCGTGGGGACATGCCGTGGCTCGCAGCGGCTGTTGGCGGGCGGTGGGTGATTTTCAGGGTAATCAGAGGCCACAGGGACGTTTGTTCCAGGGGAGCTCTCGTAATAACTCGGTCTCACCTCGGCGTTGCGTTTGACATCGGCAGGCCCGAGTTCAGTAGTCGACTCGCGTACGCTCAGTTTGAAACACTGCACTTGTTGGATCCACCGAAGCCGGAATTCGTTGTTTTTCTCGACTCACGGGCTGGCCGCCGTGTGATCCGCCTCTTAGCCAGGTTTGGCTGAGATATCGGGTTTCTTCGGTGGCTGTGCGGGCGATTTTAGACGTGCGTGACGAGACTCTTGATATGTATTTGTCGGGCTTGTGTTTTATCGGCTGATAGCCGGGCCGCTATGACTCCAGCGCACAGTCGGATCTTATTATCGGCTTCGGGCGGGAGAGGGCGCAGCGCAAGAACTCCAAGTGCGTCGAAGCGCAGCCAAGCCGTAGTCCACGTGGACAACGGATGGGGTGCTGCGTCTGTGGTCGTGGGATGGATGCCGGGCGTTTCATTGTCACGTTACTTTTCTCGACTGCAAGGGTCCGATTTCTTTCAATGTGTAAGCCGTGTCGATGTCGGATGTTTGATTTTCGGGTACAATCTTGTGGTTGAGTGGCGTCCGGGTTCAACACCCGACCTTTGACCGCTCTGTTCATGATGGAACATGATATCCGGACAGGATTTCCCGTCGTACTCGGCCGGGCCTTGACCGCGACGTCCATCGTACAGGTGCGCCGCGCAGACGCATCGCGGCACTGTGCAGCGGGCTGTCTTCACGGGCCGTGCCGTGCCGTCCCCCGCCACTACTGACGACCCGCCATGTCTCCGCTCGCAGAGCCGGTGCTGGCGCCTACCTCGGCTCCCCACCGGCTGCGCCAGATGCTGCTGTCGGGCCTGAGCCGGCCGGCCGCCTCGGCGCCGGCGGCGCGCGTCACGCGCCAGCGCAACCGCGTCATCATCCAGTCAGCCGCGCAGCCCACCGAGAAGCGCGCCAAGCGGTGACCGGGCGTCGGCCGCGCGCCGGGCGGCGGCCCCAGCGTGGCTGAGGGCGGGCCGGCACAGGGAGTTGGGAGTTGGGAGTTGGTCCACACTCCTGGTGGGACGTGCACGGAGATGATGTGTGGGGCGGGTCTGGACGTCGGCCGCGCGCCGGACGGCAGCCCCAGCGCGGCTGAGGGCGGGCCGGGCGAGCCGGCGCAGGGGCGGGAGTCGGTCCGGACTCCTGGTGGGACGTGCACGGAGATGATGTGGGGGACGGGTCTGGACGGCGGGCTCGCGTGGACAGGAGCCCTGGACTGGAATGGACTCGTCACTCCAGGATAGCCGCTGAGAGCGGGTAACTCCCGTGGGTAACGCCGACCGTGGGGCGGGCGGGCGTCTCTGACCCGGCTTGTCGACTGTGCGGCCCGAGCGGTCACAGTGTGCGGTCACAGTGAGCGTGACCTGGGAGCTGTCCGGGAGAATGGCCGGAGGGCAGCGGCTGGTTACTGTCCGACAAGCAGGCTGGTATCTCTTGGTGGAGACTAGGCATTCTTTTGGTACACTAGTGCTGATTGAGACGGTGCCCGCTCGAATATGAGATGATTTGCAAGCATTGGAGGAACTGTATTGTATTTTGGACTGATGTCTTGAGTGGCAGCAGTGATCTTTGTGTGTGGTTTCAGATCGCTACGTTATACCTGATCGTCTATCATGGTGCACTTGGTTGATGGTTTTGCGAACGGCTGACAAATTTGAGAGGCCTTTTGGGCAGTTGTTCAAACCCATGGAACATGCCGTCTGCCGTCTTCTCGGGTGTTTTCACCCTTGACGCGATTCCGTGCTTATTGAGAGTGTTTGTCTGACTTGTGACCAGTTTTGCTATTAATGCAAGCCACGCGCCTGGGTGCCGCGCTCGTTACACAAGCTCTTCTGCGGCGTCTGAGGCTGTACAGAAGTGCTTCCCGTCATGTTGGTGTCCGACCTACGTTTGTGCCTTCGCCCCCCCCCCCCCCCCCTTGTAGTTTTCTGGCTTTTACGGCCACCCCATGTGTGACTAGGCATGACAGCGGTATGCATGCCCGCGTAACGGACGGCCATCATGCGGGTCTGTCGGAGGAGACGCCTTTGAAGTGCCTGAACTGGACACTGCCCGCGTGCTGTGTGTTTACCACGGCTGGACCTCGCTGTGCTGATAAATCGAATTTCGTCGAATCTGCGTGCCATTGTCTGCGTGTCGCCATCACGGCCGTCATCATCATCACTGCTCCTGCCAGTGCCGCTCGGGGACCATGGGGCAATACAGCGGCGACACGGTCTCTGCTGGCTGGTGTTTCTCGGCTCCGTGGGCGGGGGGCCGCCGGCTGCTCGGCCCCGGCCGCGGCGGCGCCGCTCACCGGGGGTCACCGGGGGTCATCATTGGAGGGCGAGTCACGGCGGAAGACGGCGTACTGGGCAAAGCTTGCTGCCCCGTGCAAGGCTAGGGCAAGACCGGCAATGTCAGCGTTGGTACTTTTGTAGGGCAGGGACGCGGGCGGTGACTTTCGGCACTCCAAGCCGGCGGTAGGCAGGCGCACCACCTTTAGGTGCGTCCGCGTAAAAGTGGCATTGGTTCCTCAGCTGAGAAGTGAGATCATTTGAAGCAGCTAGCCGATGCGGATTACGCGCAGGGACTATGCACCAAAGCATTAAAACGGGTGTAATGTTCAGTCGTATGCTGTAACGAATGCAACATACTTTGCGTCAAAGCTACTGTGGCCTTTACCACCGCTTAGGGCACATACACCCTAGAGGTAATGCTAATGAGACATGCCCACGTTCTTCACTGCGGGAAGATTCATTCGGGATGTTTATTTGACGTTCAACGCCAGGCGCCAATACTGGGAACATTGCAGCTACAACCTGTAAGTGCACAATGATTCTGGTGATCTTCGTGATCAACTGCATTAATTCTTCCAAACATCCTGGCGCATTTCAAAGTTACTCGGCCGGTGCGCCTCGAGTGGAATGTTGAGACCCAGCGTCGGAGCCTTCCATCGTTATATGGCCGATCGTTTCCGCGGAAGCTGTCATAAAGCGTGTGAGCGGCGCGTCTGGGCCGCCCAGTGACCGTTGGGTGAGTCAGACGCCCCCGGGTGGCACCTGACACTGCGGGCCCGACCCACGCGCGCATTTGGCCCGGCTCGGTGGACGGCCGCCGGCGAGGCGCGAGGAGCCGGATGTAACCGGTGACGGATAGGGCTGGGAGGCGGCCGGCGTACCGTTACTGGGACGTGTGTCTTTCAGAGCGGTGAGAGGGGCGTGTGGCCGGCACCGCCTCCCGCTTTGTGTTTGACGACGTTTCAGTCGTGCCGCGTTTTTTACAAGGAGGACCGATGTCCCGTCAGTCGGTTGTCCGCAGCGCTGGTCTTTCCATCCTCAGCTTGTTATCCAAAATTGCGTCAGATGTTTCCGTTCTGGGCCAATGTACTCAGCTTTGTATCCAAAACTGCGTCAGACGCTTCCGTTCTGGACCAATGTACTCAGCTTTGTATCCAAAATTGCGTCAGACGCTCCGTTCTGGACCACTGTACTCAGCTTTGTATCCAAAATTGCGCCAGCGGCTCCCGTTCTGGACCGATGTGACGCGGCTGCCGGCGCAAGAGGCACAGCTGCTCGGCCGACCCGCCGCTCCAGCCGCCTGCAGCGTCGCCGGCTCCTTTCGTAATCTCCCCAGACTGCTGGGAGGCGCGACTGTCCCCTGCCGCTCGCGAGCGCCACCGCCGTTTTTGTCGGCCGCTTGCGCTACCTGAACTCCGCGCCTGTCCGAGTGACGACAGGGCAGTGTTTTCTGCGGTCACACGATGGAGCGAAGCCAACGCGTCGGCCGGCGGCCGGCGGCCGGCGGGCGCGCACCGGCCCTGTGCCTTCCGCGCGAGGGCCTGCCGCTGTCATTTCCGGTGACAAAAACTGCGGCCGTCTGCCGCGGCCAAGCCACCCTGCTAATAATTAGAGGAGCTCCCGCCGGTTGGGCTCGCCCTTCTCGGGCGCTTGTTATCCTGCACAGATAAATCAGCAACTGCAGCGTCTTGTTAGACGCCGGGTGGCATCGCGGCCGGATTAATTAGCCTCCTCTCGAACACGCCGCTGGCGAGGCCTTCCCGCAACGCCTTATCCGCGGAGGTGGGTAGGGGTGGCGTGCTGGAGCCACGCTAGGAATCTGGCAAGGCGGACGGTCGGACGGACAGCGACTGAGAGCGTGACGCCGGGCGGGGAGCTCTGGCTGGACGCTGCGGCGGTCCGTTGCTCGCTGTGGGAGAGTTGGCCCTGAGAGCTGACGGTACTGGTCGTCCGAGTGACCTCGACTGATTGGTAGATGTTTGCTCGTTGGTCGAGCCTCGCCAAATATAAGGACTTCGGAGAGGTTTAATGTGATCTACGCAAACTTCGACGCCTTCGCTAAATCGCATTCATGCGATAACCAGCGATGTTGAGTATCTCATCGTAAACGTTTGATATTTCGTGGGCCCCGTCGTGATTGCGTTGAGGTTTGATTCCAGGGGTCGGTACTCACTCTTCTGCTTTGGCAGGGACGTGCCATGTCTAATGTCGCTTACATAGTGTTATCGTTTACTCCATTTAAAAGAAAATCGACAGAAAGCAGATAACGCTACGAAAAGTGGCAACGAACTGATTGCTCTCTTTGCATTTCGCAAAAATAGCATTCCCGCAATTCCAAAATAGAATTTATCTGATGACCCCGCGTGCGGCGCCATGTTCGCTCTGCCCCCCGTCCTCCCACCTCCAGCCTGGTCAGCGGCCGTCCTGTCCCGTGTCCATCTGAGGCAGGCTGTAGTTGCCGCCCAGTCCACGGTACAGCCGCGCCGTCCCGTCCCTGAGACTGCAGCTGCAGCGGGGCGTCAGCCGCGGGGTCCGGCGGGACTCGGCGGCTCCGGTGACGCCCGGGCTCGCCGGGACTCGGCGGCTCCGGTGACGCCCGGGCTCGCCGGGACTCGGCGGCTCCGGTGACGCCCGGGCTCGCCGGGACTCGGCGGCTCCGGTGACGCCCGGGCTCGCCGGGACTCGGTGGCTCCGGTGACCAGCCCGGGCCCACCGGGACTTGGGATAGGGGCTCCGATGAGCAGCCCCGGCCCCGCCGGGATCGGGGGCTTTGGTGCACAGTCCGGACTCGCCGGGACATGGGGGAGGCTCCGGTGACCGGTCCGGGTCCGCCGGGACCTCCCTGGCGCGGTTCGAGCGGCAGCACGGCACCAGACACGCCTACCGGAGCCGACCCGGCTCTGTTGTTAGAGGCACATCACCGAGGATAAGGGCCCAGGACGTGGCTCTTACCGTGACCGTGTGGAACCAAGGCTAGCTAACGGGCTGCGATGCCGCCAAAGAGCATGGTCAAAGTTACGTAACGAACTGTAAGGCTGGCGGACGTGGCTCTGTAGCGGCGAGTCAGCGTCTCTTGAGACTGCGCGGGCGTCGAGCGTATGACCCCCAGTGCTCGGAGGGTGTGCTTGGCATGTACAAGGGGTCGCGGTTCATGTATGTTAACGTGACAGGAAATTTGAGCTGCGGTTCCCGTCCTTGTTGGGACTCGTGACGTGCGACGGCATGAGCGCCGTGGACCGCAACACCGCCTCATGCATGCTGTGACAAACCGGAGTAAGTACATCGGACGTATAAGATCGATAATACCCTGTTTTTTTTCGGCAGCACTTCTTTGCCATGCCACGGGAAAACAAAAGCTATTCGTGCGCGCTAAACGACCGCTCCTGGTTCGCTGCGTGTGCCAGGGCGGAGTATGACAAGCGACCAGCTGGAGTAGGCGTGTTGTCGACTTATCTCGACAGCAGCGATAGTGCCATGCCTTGTCCCCACTGTCACAACTGCGCGCTGCCAGCTGGGATGGATCGTCGAAATCAAATTTTG